TGGGGGTGGGGAGCGGAGAGGGGCTCTGAGGAGGCCGGGAACAAAGGGGCCGGGAGCGAGTGTGACTTTCCTGCCGCGCACCTATTGTTCTCTCGGAAAGCTCCCTTTCCTGATGCTAACGGGCGGCGTCCACTCTGGAGGCGGCGTCTCCCTCGCTTTTCTCCTCAGCTTCGGACTTACCTTCTTCGCTTCGCTTCTCTCTTTCCCCCCCCCCCACCCCTTGATAGGAGCAGCCCCTCGGCCATTGTTCGTGGGGAAGGGGCGGGGCCCGTTCTGGTTCGGCGGGCCGGGGGAAAGGTGATTAAGGGGGGGAGCAGACAGTCTCCTTAGGGGGGGAATTAACAAAAGCAAAAGAATTTTTTTTAAAAAAGAAAACTAATGCATACAGAGCCTGGTGGGAGGAGAAGCGGCAAACACTGAGGTTTTTATTTTTTTTGTTGCCGCGCCGCAATTTTTATTTTGGTGTGGATGAGAAGTCCAGCTGACCGGAAAGAAAGGAAGGAAGATTAAGAGACAGCTGAGGAGGGGGCTGTAGCGGGTCCCGCCGAGCAGCAGGTGCCCGGATGTTACAGTTAGGCCGGCCCCTCCTCCTCCGTCTCAAGGGGATGAAGCGCGCGCGCGCGCGCTCTCGGGGAGTTTGAATTCGGTGCGGTTCTAGAACGACGCGTGGGTGGGCGTGGCTTGACGGTGGGAGGCGGACCTTCCCCCGCCTACCTTTTGGTGTCACTGCTGGTCGCCTTACCGCTTGGCCCCAACCCCATATTTTGTTGCACATTTTGTGAAATGGGTGCGGTTCTCCCCCCACCCCTCAAATGGGCGTATCGCTGTGATTCTCAGTTTTCTCCACGGTCTGCCTCAGCCCCTTCTCTTTCCACCTATTGTCTATTCTCCGCCCAAAAGGTTTGCTCGTGTATCTGTTGTGCAGCTTTTTTAACGGCTTGCATTAAAAAATCATGTGTGCTTTAGCGTCAAAAAAGCAAACTTTAGGTTCGGTTTTTCAAAAAAATATATGTTTGGTGTCTTCTGTCTTTTTGACCGTTTGGCTGTAGAATTCCCAGTCTTTAGCCTCTTACAATAGCGAACCACTCTTTGTACTTACAACCTCTGTTGGGGTAACAATAGCGTTTGCCGCGTTTTTAAATCATTAAGGAAGATGTGTCCTTCTGTGAGGCTTCCTAGGAGGGCTTTCTGAATCTGAAAGTCTGTATTCTGTAATGATTGTTCATAGGTTCCAATTACTATTCAACGGAAAAGGGACTAGACAAAGCACATCTAGGTAGAAGCTTAGCATTTATAGTTAAGTTTCAACCTCTCAAGTGCCAGTTCCTTATTTTTAGGTGCTGCCTTTTGTATCTAGTAGGAAGAAAATGTAAACTAGGTGTCCAAGCAACCAACACCCCAGGGGTTTTGCCAGTACTGCTTACATTTTATTTGAATAGCTTGCAGGACAAACTAGAGTATTTTCCTTAGAGAATACTTGTGATTTTCTCAGGTTCCTGTTTTGCACTTGGAGTATGGGTATAGAGTGGTGGTTATGTTGGTCCTGAAAATCAGTATATTGCTGACTGTCTAATGTATATTGTCTCAAACTGCATGTTTTCAACATAAAGATTGTTTCCCATTTAATACTGATTTTGGTGCTAGGCACTAACTAACCATATACATCACACTGCACACAAAAATCATAATTGCTTGTGTAATCAAGGGTGAGTAGATATAGATGGTGACTTTTTTTTTTTAAAGCCAAACATTTAGTAATATGGTTTTACTTAACACTGACATACTGCTTTGGACCATCACCTGCCTTTAAAATTAGAATCACAGTTGGGTGGAAATTGCGGGGAGGGCGGGGTATAAATAAAATAAAATAAATAAATAGGTTATAACTTAATCTAAGGTACCTCAGTTTGCAATATGTTAACTTGAAGATGATCTGTCTTGTGTACATCTTCCAAAGGTAACAGACATATGGCTAGGGACCAAGTATCTGGAGAACATTGTGAAATTATGTCTGCTTGAGTGGCTTGATGTTTAAAATGCATTTGACTTCTTGGCACACTTTGGCGTGTGTAAAGAAAATAACACAAGTGTCTTACGAAGTGTACTTGCACATGAAAGCTTATACTTTGAATAAAATTTTGTTGGTCTTAAAGGTGTTACTGGACTCAAACTTTGTTCAAGGTCTAATAGTATTACTTTGTATATTGCTTCCATTTACCTAATGTATTTCACTTTTCGTAGTGCCCTGCTTACTGGAGTTTCTGCACCACATTATTTTGAAGTATTAGACATGGCATCGTCTGGTAAGTATTATTAGTACTCTACTGATAATGGTCCTCTGGTCATTAAGGTGCATATCGGTCCTTGTTGGATATATTGTTGATTAATACACTCCTGTATATTTTGTTCTGTTGTTGCTTGTAAAGAATTGTAAAATATTTAATATATAAAAGAGAGCTTATCTGTCATCTGTGATTCTACTATAGGAAATCTCAGATGGGTTCTAGGTTTTAATTATAACATGCCCCTCTACTGGTTAAATCATACTGGCCCTGTTCACACGGAGGATTTGCCGCGGGACAGCGACGATTGCATGGCGGATTATCCAGGCACGATCACACTGCAACATCTGGGAAGTGGAGCGCACCCGTGGCGTACCGCCGAAAAGGCACAATAAAAAACTACCTGCTCGAAGGTACTAGCAACCGGTTTGCCACGGGCTGCCTCCGGAGTTCCTTGGTGTGATCGCGCTGGCCTCGGCTTTTCCCTCCGGCCCCTTGTTGATTCGCAGGCACGGAGGGAAGGAACCATGGCATGCTGCCGACATGTGGGATCGCATTATGGCGGCTCTAATTGTGGTGACGCAAAAAGCCCCCCCCCTCCCGCGTGTGTGTTATCCGGCCCATGTGACCGGGGCCACTGTTTGTCAGATGTATAATTGGAGATTAAATCTGCAGTTCCCCTATGATAAATGAGAAGAATTACCTAGGCTGTGCCTCCGAAAAGGGACTCTTTCTAGTTTAAAGAAGTAACGTTTTGAGAAATTTTGAAGCTATGGGGGGGAACAAACAGTTTTTAGAAAAATTGTAACACATGTAATTGCTTTGACACATGTATGTTCATTTTTACCATCTGCAAGGTAGGAGAGGCTGAATTTATAAATTGTAAAAAAAAATTGTGCAGTTTAGACGGTGCCATGTAGTCACAGTAGGACTGCCTGCATATTTGAACATCAAATTGTGGAAATTTCTTACGTATACTAAAGTATTGCATGGTAATTGTATATTTGGGTGCATCTGTTTATTTTCTCAGCACACAATTGAAACAGAATTCCTTCAGGAATGCAGGAAAATCAAAATTCGTGAGAGTACTTGGAATTTTGTTAACTCCCTAGGCCTCTTGCCATAGGCTTACATGATCCCTTTGGGGGGGAAGCCATGGCTAATAACTCTGTAGCCTTGGAGTTCAACTTGCTTTATTCTGCTTGAGGGGCTGTCTTAATCACAATCGGCTTTGTTAGCGTGATGGGGTTTGGAAAGTTAACTGTGACAACTTCTGTTTTAGACATGCAGGTGAAAGAACTGGAAAAACGTGCTTCTGGCCAGGCATTTGAATTAATACTGGGTCCTCCATCAAAAGATGCAGTTCCAGAGTTTCCCCTTTCCCCTCCAAAGAAGAAAGATCTCTCGCTGGAAGAAATTCAAAGGAAGCTAGAAGCTGCCGAAGAAAGGCGCAAGGTAAATGCACATACCCCTGACATGTAATGGTTGTTCGTGTGTACCTGTTTAAATGTATATTTAAAACTGAAGCTAATTAAGAGAGGAGCACATGTAAGAACATCTCAAGTTTTTTCTTTATAGTCAAACATTGAAGGATTGACTTTATATTACAAATAAAATAACAGCAATTCCACCTGAATTGTTCTGTTTTTTAGGCATTTGCACAAAAAATAGAACAAGATTACCAAATTATGTTCAAGAACATTGGAAAAGACTTAAAATAGTAGATTTTTTATAATGTGAAGAAACTTGTGTAGAGTAAATCTTCTGCCCTGGTTGGAACAAACTTGGCTATTAGTAGTCTGAGGCTGCTGTCAGTGACTCAAATCCATCCTTAATACAACCAACCACTGTAATTACATACAGACTTCTCTCAACTAAACATGGAATGGATCTATATTCTAGTCCCATGAAGCTGAGGTATTGAAACAACTGGCTGAGAAACGAGAGCACGAGAAAGAGGTGCTGCAAAAGGCGATTGAAGAGAATAACAACTTCAGCAAAATGGCAGAGGAGAAGCTGACCCACAAAATGGAAGCGAACAAAGAGAACAGAGAAGCGCAAATTGCTGCTAAACTGGAGCGCTTGAGAGAGAAAGTAAGTCTGCAGTTCAAGCATCCCATAAAAAGTACAGCATAAATTTGGATCACCAGTAATACTTAAATTTGATATCTCGGCAAAGTAGGCCATCATCAAATATACGCATAGAATTTTTAAAACGATTTCAGCAAAAAGTAGCAAATCCGTGCATTATTACCGTAGTTAATCTTTTCAGATGAAGAACACACAGATTGTGAGAACCCATGAAGCTGCCTTATCCTGAGTTAGACCTTTGATCAGTATTGTCTGGTTTGGCTGGCAGCAGCTGTCCCAGATTTTATGAGGAAAAACTTCCAAATTGCCTCATATGTGATCATTTTAATTGTTGCCAAGCCATGTCCCTTCCCCAAAATAGACCTTAAGAGGTAGTCTTTTAAACAAGGTAGGACCTTGTTTTGATGCTACTAACCTGGCAGCATCTCTTTAAACTATGTGGTGCTTTAGCACGCTAGCATTGGCCTTCCACGTTGGAAACTTGGCCCATGAACAAGTGAGAGTACAAATCTGCTTGGGTGCATAGCTGTCAAAGCCTTTAGGGCATACACTGCAGAGGGTGGTGAATTTGCAGTTGTAGGAATCCAATCCTGTAAATGTAAGACAAGTAAAATCTAGGTGGACTAAGAGTCTTGAAGGTGGCTCATCTCTGTTGTGACCAGCTGATTTTGTTGTCTTTTTTACTCCACCAGGATAAGCATATTGAAGAAGTACGGAAGAACAAAGAAGGAGGGAAAGAAGCTGGTGAGAATGAAAGCGACTGACTTCATCCTGGAATTTGACTTTCTCCCCTTTGTTGAAATATCCAAAGACTGTATTGGCCAGTGTTTTTGTTAAGTTCCTAGAAAACTGATGTATTACTGTATAATTAGATCCAACTGTACATTTGCTTTGGGGAACGAGAGGGGAGCCCTTTCATGTTCACTCTTTTTCTAAGCTGTTGTCTTTCCAGTGTAGCTATCTTGTTGCATTTCTTCTATTCCAGTGCATTTTGTTCCTGGATTGATGACTTAGTGCTGTATTCAGCTGACATATTTGTCAAGGGAATATGTAGTGTAATGTTCATGCTGAATCTGTTACACTTCAGAATCTGTCAGTCTTACAAATATTACTGTAACCAAGTTACTTAAATAAAGCTGCACAGTGCTATTATCACAGGTGACTGTTTCTGAGGCTAACATGACACATACTAAATATGCAATTCAAGCATACCTATGGCTAAAATATATTGCTGTAATAATGGAATGAAATGCCTGCAAGCAAAGTTCTTGTTTAGTGGCTAGTGACACTCCACAGTAGCCTTTTTTGTCCTTTAGAGTTGTGCCTATTGTCCCAATTCAACAATAAGATCTTTGTCTTACATCTCAGCCGTTGTCAGCTGTTTTGCTGAAATCATTCAGAACGACCTCCCTCCATAGACATGCTTGAAATTCCAACAAATAATTCCTTAACATGGAACTGATTTGACCTTGAAACCAGTTGCTTGTTAACTTGATGTTTCATTTGTTAAGGTTGTCCCTCTTGCTGTAAGCTCCAAGTCAATGATGAATATAGTGTCCTAGTATTGGGTTTTGGGGGGGGGGGGGGGGGAGAGGCTTTGGTAAAGGAACAGGCCTGCATATTTCCATGACTGCTGGAGTTTTTTAGAGCAGATTGATTTTTCTGGTTAAAGCAATATTGCAGTTCAGTTTGGTTACGGAAATAATTGGTGCTACCCTAATAGCATTTGTTGAGTTCCTTGGCAGAGCTGAGTAAGTACAGATAAAGTATTTCTGGAGGCCTATAGTTCTACAACTATTTTACAATTCCTTTGTAAAATAAATAGGCTTAGGGTTTCCCCCCTTGGTGAGGATGGTATTCTAACCTTTGGGTGGATGTGGGGAAATGATGTCAAAGCAATTTTATATGCAGCCTAAGCTGCTTGTCCTTCCATTGGTTTTATAGCTAAAGGGGAGTTATGCATCCTCTGACACAACTGTTAAGACAAACAGAACAATATTGAACTGTCAACCTATGAAACGACTAGGAACTTTGGAAGTCTTGAAATCTCTTTAAGGAATGGTTTTTTCTTAATTCAATACAGAAAATGACTGGCAACTGTGGATGTAATCATTTTACCTTGATATGAGAGTTAGTTTAACTTGAGAGCTTCCCCACCTTCTGGCTGTTGCAGTGTTTGTTAAAATAATATGACTGGTACTAGGTTCTTTCAGTTTTTTTGGTTGTAAAATATGAAACTTCCTGTGCATGGCTGTGTATGCTTGATCTTGTTCATTACATCAACATATTAAAAAGTACAACTGTAAGAATCTCTGTAACAGAATGAGTCAGCCAACAATAAATACACTTAAATGACACAGTTCTCCTTCCTGACTTTAGCAAGTGTCATTGGAAACATTTGGCAGCACTGAAAATGAAGATGCAAGGAGTTGGTTTGCATCTTGAAGTAATGTAGCTCAGCTGAGAAGTGGATGACTCACATAAACTTCTAGTCTTTAAACTCATGATAGAGGTGTGCCTAGGACTTATTGTGCCTCTTCATGAATGTCAGCTGTAATTAGAAATGACTGTCCTGTTTCACTTTTACCCTCATTAGACATAGAGCTTCTTGGATAACCAAACTGGCAGTTTGGAAACATGGGCCAAATGATATTCCACAGTGAAATCTTTCTGGGGACTGGAGGGAGAAAGAAATTACTGCAAAAATACTTATTTTCATGTAGCCTTTTAATTCAAAATGTAATCACTCTTTCATGAGGACTGTTGGTTATTAGAATTTAAACTAAGTGTTTGTACTCTATCACACATTAATTGCTGTATTTGAATCCATTGATATTTTAACAACAAAACTAAGGACATATTACCAGAGTCTAGCATGTACTGTGTTCAAGCCATTAGTTACAGCACCTGGATATGTTAACTACACTACAAACATAGTAATGTGGAAGAAGTTTGAATGAGATCATGGCATTTGCAGGGATCAGTATTCAGTACTGTTTCAGCCAGTACACACTTAGGATAGTTTCACCTGGGAATTTTATTTCCTTTATTTATATCCTGACTTTCTAATGGGTCCCAAAACAGCTTATGTCCTTCTCCATTTTATCTTCACAGTGGCACTGTGAGGTAGGTAAGACTTAGAGGGATGGCCCAAGGTGCTTTCATGGCCAAATGAGGATTCAAAGAGGGGTCTCCCACATTTTAGTCTGATGCTTCATCCCCTATACCACGCTGGCTTGATGTCTGTGGTAGTTCAGAAGCTACCTTGGTGCAAAGCATAGTGCATATAGGTGTAGCTCAGAGAGAGTGCATGTGTGAAAAAGGCCAAACCAGATGAGTACTTAACTTTTAAGGACTCCTGTATGTTTGTCCCATGGGGCCAGGATGGGGAAAGGATTACCCCCCTCCATACACTGCTATAAGCATTTTAGAGAGAACTGATTACTGTTCTGCTAGTTCTATGCAAGTGAAGTTTGGTCTCAAAACAAGTAGTGCCATTTGAAAGACTGGCTTCAGGTTTAACTCCCAACACGTTTTCAGTGGGACTTCCTGATCATCATTTGAGGCATGCACTTTATGTAATCAGGGAGATTTGACTGGGTCAGTTTAGATCAGCAGTGTTGCTAGTCTATCAGCTGTTGCCTCCCTGAATCCTTGGGAGGAAGAAGAGAATGGTAGGGGGGGGGTTGACCAGCTTGTGTAAGTCCAGTTGACAAAAGGACACATGGTCAATTTTCTAACTGATTTTGTGACATTGGGGATAATTGTTAAGGATTATGTTTAAAATGAACATTTCTTATTGTGAAAGGTGATGAGCGGTAGTAGAATTGATACTGTTGTTCGTACAATGGCTGTATAATCTCACAAGTGTGTAAAGTGGAATCAGGAGTATGTACACTGTCCTGAACAAAGCTTTCTCTGATGTTTGTGCATGGAAACGGCTGCAATGTGGGGTCCTGTTCCATTCTTGCATGCTGCAGCTCCTCCCCATATTGCTGTTGCTCTGGGAAGGGATATGCTGATGTCGGAAGGACTTGTGATGTATGGTTGCTCCAAAGGGCCATAATCTTTCAGTAAGAGCGCTCTTCCCCATGTGCATTTGCTCCTTCTGCTAGGTGTTGGTGATTTGAAAAGTACAGCTGTGTTTATGGCACAAAATATAGGCCTATAGCGCCCCCATCACCAGTACACTGCTAGTGCCCAAAAAATTGTAGTGGATTCCAAAACCTGAACTGCTAAGCTTTGCTCCAACCGAGGCACTGTTTACTCACTAAATGCGCAGAGAAACAACTGAAAACGATTTCGAAATAAAATGGATGTTCAAGTTGAACTTGCTGTTCTGATGTATTCATCTCAAGTGCAGCACTTAGTTCAAAGGAGCATTAGCCTTCCTGTTTTCAGCCATGCAAGAAAACGAGGTGCTGTGAGAGGCTTTCCCAGCTTGGCCAGCAGGCAGACTGGAATGCTCCTGCTGTTTTTAAACTCCTTGCAAATAGGACCAGAAGAAGCCAAGAGAGGGGATGCAACATTTCTCCCTCACAGCTTCTGCCACAAATAAAATTCTTCGGCTCTGGTGACTGTTTTTAAATGCTAAGGAACACTCCAGCCGGCATCCCCCAGCTGCCTGACGCAGTCCCTTCCGCCACCCCGTTCTCCTGCCTGCGCGCGCGCGTGGTGGGGGCCCTTCCATGCCACGTGCCCCCCCCTATTATGTAATGGAGAGCGTGCAATAGAGTGGACAGATGCAAAGAAGGGGCCGGCAGGGCTTCTGTTCTTCCAGTAGGGGGGGACACGGGGAGAATTTTGCCAAGTGCACCTTCTCCAGGTGGCCGAGCAAGACGTACTTTTAAAATGACAGGAACCGTCTCCGCAGGTTCTCCCTTTCAGCCTAGCAGCTGAAGGCAGAGCCAGAATTCGGCAGCTCGCGCGCATCGCCAATCTCCCGCCACTTTGCTGGGGGGGGCGCTTCTGGTCAGAGGGGGCCAGCAGCTGGGGGGGGGGAGGCCAAGAGGCGAGGCGGGTCTTTTCTGCGAGAGGCGGTTGCTGCCGCAGAAGGGCGGCCTTGCCTGCTTGGGTTGGGTCTCACTGCCGCTTCCTGCCCATCGGCCCCGCTGGAGTTGAGGACGAGGCGGAATCTGGAGCATCCTCAGGAAAAAGAAGTCGGAGGTCAGTAAGAGGCGGGGAGGCGGGAAAGTGGGGTGCGAAAGAGCGAAACCCGGCGGTGGGACATACATGTGCGTGCGCACGAACCCCCAGTCGGTGAGGGGGGACCTGCAAAAGTGGGGGGGGGGGCCCCCTGGGCTGGCTCTGGGGAAAGCTGCAGATCGTATGCCGGGGTGTGTGTGCATTCCGCGCCCCTGCGTGCTTCCTCGGAAGCAAGCCCCGCTGAGTTCCGTGAGACTTGTTTTTACGCTTATCTAGGAACACCTCCTGCCAACCTAGCAGTTCGAAAGCAAGAAATTGCAAGTAGATAAATAGGTACCACTTTGGTGGGAAGGTGTTTAGTCATGCCGGCCACAGGACCACGGAAACGTCTTCGGACAGCGCTGGCTCTTCGGCTTTGAAACGGAGATGAGCACCGCAACCCTAGAGTCGGACTCAACTGGCTTTCGAGCAAGGGGACCTTTACCTTTAGGAACACCAAAAAGATCCATGCAATGCCGTTTCTGGAACCAGCCAAATGAGCCCAGCGGGACTTTTCATCGGGCTTGATGTCACAAGATTTTAAAAGATAGAAGGGGGTTGGGGGCGCAGATCAATTTCAGCCACTTAGTTTTGCTTTGCACTCTGACCTGGGAGTAAAATGGAAAAACTAATCTTGTGGTGGCACCTTGAAGGCTGGCGGGTTTATTGTGGCAGGAGCTCTTGTGGACCAGTGCCTGTTCTGCTGGATGCCCGAGGTGGTAACAAACTGTTGGTGGCAGAGATCTAGAGAAAGCCTGAGAAATGCAATATATGCTCTGAGGAGACTCAGCGCAAGGTTTTTAAAAATAGAATAGCATCAGTACTTGACCATATGCTTCACCATTTAGTTTTCCTATTCTGTACTCTCCCATGTGTCTGCTAATGAAGGGAACATGCATCGGATGAAGCTAGTGCAAGAGAATTTGCTTCAGTAAATCTTTAAAGTGCCATAAATCCTGCTTTACTGTAACAAAAGCCCTGTTCCCAAGTTAGAATGAATGCATGTACAGTTGGTATGCAATGGACATTTGATTTTTCTTTTTACTTACATTTAAGTAATTCTCATGTTATAGGGAATGCATGTACAGCTGAATGTGCGATTGAAACCACACCTTTATCCTGGGACTGGCCCCTGTTGTCATCTGTAAAGTGAACACATTATTTATTTATTTATTTATTTACCTTCAACTTCTACCCCGCTCGAACCCCTCCCATGGGTCTCTGAGCGGCTTACATAGTTTGTATTATCCCTATCTATGGGCACACATATATATATATCTCGTATTAGGGGCAGGACTACCTAACGGCACCCGGTGGGATTCAGTTGACGTGTCTTCAGCTCGTCTCGTCTCCTCGGCTTCGGGTCGGCATCTTCCCTCCGCTCTCTTCAGGCTCCTCGGGAGATTTTTTGGAGTTGGCGGGCCCATTAGTCGTGCTGATCGCATCGGCGTGGCACTGGCAACACATGTTGCCTTCTTCTCACAAACAGGAGTGGGTGTATATCTTCATGCAGGCTGTATCTGCATTCACTGTAATTTAGGTGAACAGGGCTAAACTAAGGGGACAATCGAAAGCAATGTTGAACATAATGGGACTTACTTCTGAGTAAGCATGCACAGTCTGGTGCTGTAATGTTGCAGGGGGGGGGGTTGCCATCAAGTCACAGCTGATTTATGGCAGCCCCATAGGGTTTTCAAGGCAAGAGATGTTCAGAGGTGGCTTGCCATTGCCTGCCTCTGTGTCACAACCCTGGTATTCATTGGAGGTTTCCCATCTAAATAACTTGCCAGGGCCAACCCTGCTTAGCTTCCAAGATCTGAGGAGACTGAGCAATCCAGGCCAGAGCATTGCAATCTTATGCAGTGTTATCCCAGCCTATAAAACAGCTACATCTCTGGAATTCATTACTTGGCACTGCGTCTAATTGGATTCAATGAGACTTTCTTCTGAGCAAGCTTGCACAGGATGAAATGGAATGTTTTTATGGCAACAAAAGTTGCATAAGTGCAAACTTTCTAAGAGATATCCTGAATCCCTGAGATCTTAAATTGCAGGGGTAAATGCGGAGAGAGGACCCTTGGCTTGAATCCAGGTTAAATTGGCAAGTTTCATTGATTGCCCCTTCCTGTTGCAGGTCACTCCCCCCATTGTTCCTCATTGTCTGGTATCACATCACGCTGGAGCAGCATTGGCGGGGAGGGGCAGGAAAGTTCCATTCTGCTGTTGGAAAATGTAGGCTGAATCCATCTGGGACAAACAGATGAGAGCAGAAAACCTCCTGCAGCTTTGGTGCAAGAAAGTCTCTCAGATGTCATTATTCTGTTTGGAAGCGTTGTCCAAATCTGTTTTGGACCTTGCTTGACTCTGAGGAGGGGCAGGAGATCAGACGTCAGCCTGTGGCTTCCTCTTAAAGATCTTTTCATAACACTGAAACCAGGGTGGGAGTGGTACTCAGGCCACTAAGAGATACAAAAGGAGCCAGGAGCTGAGAGGACTGTTAAGTTTGAGAGGGGTTCATCATACTGCTTTGTTTTTTGTATGTAATGTTATTTTTAACATTTTTGTAGTCTGGCTTTTTTTCTTTCCCCAAATGAAGAAAGCAGATCTTGATAAACAGTGGCTGCTTACAGAGTGTGGAGGATTCCAGCCCCACCTTCAATCCTTTGCATTATATAACAGTAGGGTGTTGGCTTGAATCACAGCTGCTCGTTTGGATAAGAGGTTACTGTTGACCAGTTAAAGAACTGTAACCTGCCTTTAAACTTGTGGTGACATAGAAACAAACGTGCATGTTACCCCAAGATGGTGTTCTGTGTTACCGAAGGAAGCAAGAGAGGACTTAGTAGTTTAATAAGCAGAAAGCTTCCACTTTGAAGGATTGCTTTGGGATAGTGCTGAGATGGGTCGCCCAGTTATCATCTTATTTTGAAAGAGAATACCCAGGGTTTGCCAACATGTTGTAAAGCCAGAGTGTATATTTGTGAACTGTTAGCACTTCAGGCATTGCTAATTTGTGTTCAGTGATCTTGAGAATGCAGTAATAGGATTGTGTCTTACTGGACCAAACAAAAGTCCAGGTAATGCTTGGCAAGAATCCTGGAAGGTGGTTCCCAACCGCTTGGAATATGAGGACCCCTTTTTCACATTGGAAAATTTCATAGACCCCTCCACATGGTAGTAGTAGTATCCGTTGATTGAGAAAACACATAATAACTAAAACGTTAAAAATGACAATGCTTAGGGTGTGGTCAGACGGCGTGCTGAGAGCGGGTTAAACTGCTCCGGTTGTAACTGGATTATATTTGATCACACTTACCTCCCTTATCCTGCCTCACCGCGCAGTTGCAGCGCTCCCCGCTATCTACACTACCGACGCGCGGGAGCTTATGTCGGCGTTTTTTCTCTCCTCAGTTTGCGCATGTGCATAGGCACCCCTCCGTAGAAGGGGGGAAATGATCATGGCACATGCGCAGAACCACCAGGGCGAATCAATCCAACCCCTCCAACAAAAGACTTCCCTTTAAATGTTTGACCCGAAAATGGCCTCCGTGAGATCCTGAACTAATCTAAACGCTAAAACAAGTGACCGTTTAAATGTCGGTTTTCTAAACGCGGTGGTGGAGCTCCGCCTATGTGCACACCGCCAGCGCATTAAAAAAATGGTGGGTGAAAAGCGGAAGCCTCGGGCAGCTTTTGAGTGGGGAGGGGGTTTAAACCGGAAGTGGCTTGAGGAGCAATCACACGTGGAAAATGCGGCTTTAAACAGGAGAGCTGAGAAAACACCACTTTGGGACCTGGTAACAAAATACTCCGGTTTAAAGCGGTTTTGAGCTGAAACCAATGGCTGGGGATGGGAGGCAGATGTTGACTGTGTGATCGTGCAGATAAAATCCGTTGCTGATTTGTCACGACACCAGATCAAACGGCGCGTCTGAACGCACCTTTAGTGTGCTTATGCATTCACAGCCACCTTGCAATAACTCCATGTCTCCCCAGGGATCCCTAGCCCCCTGGTTGGGAACCACTACGCTAGAAATTAGGCACTGGTCTACCAGCAGACTTCAATCATCCATTTCTCTGCCCCAGTGTAGCAGACAGGTGGTTAGTCTTGGTCCATGGAGGTTTGCTCAGGGCCAAACTAGGTGTGATGTGGGAGATTGTTAATTTAGGATTTCCCATGGTGGTTCTTTTATTTTAAAAAAACACCTAATTAAAAACTTGATATGGTTGCTTTGAACATCTGGGAAGGCCCTTGAGGGAGCTGGTGGTTAATGCTTTCTATACATACTTTCAACCCAAAGGAAACCTCTGCCCCACCCCAGCTGATATGGTCTCTGCAGGGAGGAGGGCAGTTATGGCTCTTAAATTGGCCCCTTTTTCCAGCCTGGAGCTAACTGTAGGGGTTTTTTTTGTGGGGGGGGACAATTTATATTAGGAAAACTTCATGGGGACTTCCAGTTTATGGCGACACACTGGCAGACGCACCTCCTGGACCTCCCGGGGGTGCGATCTGCGCGCTAGCGGTTAGGAGGGGGGGTGATTGTTCACTACTCCCCCCCGGAGCCTTTGTGAAAGGCTCCTAGCCATGGGGCTTTTGAAGTGTGGCCTCTTCACCAGCGTGATGCTGAGGAATTGAGGCGCTCTTCTGCCCCGACGGTCCTGCCGCTATGCGTCCAAATGGAACTAGAGCCGCTGACCGGGACAAGCGTTGGAGACCGAGCATTTAAAATGCATTTTGAGCGAGGTCTTATGACCAACAACAAACAGTGAGTCGGTTCCAGTGATGGCGGCACGCTAGAGCAGACTCACCTCCCGGACCTCCCGGGGGTGAAGCTGCACTCCAGCCAAAGGAGGGGGTGCGCAGGCTCGTCACCCCCCCAGGGACCCGGTTGAAGGGACCCTGGCCATGGAACTTCTGAGAGGTCGCCTCTTCGATGGCGGAATGCCAGAGAATTGAGGCGCCTCTCCGTTCCGACGGTTCT